CATGAACTGCCTCGAAACCTACGCTTGTAGTACCTACATGCCCATTAAGATCTCCTCCTATAAAAAGCTTCTCACTACTAGGTACAGCTCTAATCAGGCCATCTAAGACTTTCCAGAACTGTCTCTTAGCACTCTCGTCAAGGCCTACTTGGGGGCATACACACTAATTACGTTCAAAACCATATCACTAATGACAAGCTTGACTAAGAGAATCCTATCTTCTTGCCTTCTCACTCCCACCACACTATTCTTGAGTCTCTTATCAATCAAAACTCCTACTCCATTTCTATTCGTGACTGTCCCTGTGTACCAAAGCTTGAAACCTGTATTGTCCACCTCCTTCGTCTTCTGACCCTTCCATTTAGTCTCTTAAACGTATAATATATTTACACGCCTTCTAGTCGCGGTATCAACTAATTCTCTTAACTTACCTGTAAGCGACCCTATATTTCAACTACCTAAACGGATCCTAGTTGGTTCGACTAGCTTCCTTACCCTTCGCACCCGTCGACTCAGATGTGAAGACCCTTGCTCATTTTTCACTATACCCAGACGCCGATGTAGCGCGCCACTAAGGATGCGACAACCCGATCCTTGCTCACTTGACACCGTGCCCAGATCGCGACACGACGCATCATGGGGGTGACGACCCGGCCCTTGCTCATTTAACACCATACCCGGGTTCCGATATGGCGCGTCGCTAAGAGGGTTACGCCCCAACGGTTTTCTTTCGGGTTTATCTCTATTAGAATGGCTAGGTTTAACGTTGACTCGCCACGCCTATCACAACCCTCCTCCTTTATCAGGGCTTGGGACCTGCTATGTTGAGACAACATAGGCGGAGTTTAACTCAAGAAACACATCAATTGTAATTTCATTTAACATAAAACTGGCAATTTCATTTCACAAGGTCGACATAGTTCATAAATAGTTGCATAAACAGCTATATATGGAGTATGATATTGTACTTTCTCTGACACATTCAAATCGTTTAGTTGTTGATATCGATGCACAATTTTAAGACCGACGGTTCCTTCGAGCGTGGTTGATCCTCATTCCTTTCTCTCGGCATTCAGTACTGCAGAAAGCGCTCTCTCCCCTGCAGCATCAAGTAATCAAATGGAAGAAAGGAGCAAAATCTCCAACTCCAAGGCTGAGGAAAAATAGAAGTACCCCCTCCGATGTCAAACTTCTCTAACTTTAACCAAGTTTATAGAAAAATACACAAATATTTACAACATCAGACTAGTTTTGTTCGATACACCATGAAATATATCCTGATAATACTTTTATTTAATATTGTAGATGTAATATATTTTCTATAAAAGGGCGTAGCCAGTGCAGAGAGCTCCCACTCTGTGCGGGGTCTGGGGAAGGGTATCAGTGGCAAGTCTTACCCTCGCCTGTGCAATGCGAGGAGACTGTGACTCGAACACGGGACCTTCCGGTCACAGGCAGTAAGGCTCTACCACTTGCACTAGGCCTGCCCTTCTAATATATTTTCTATAACCTTGGTCAAAATTAGACAAGTTTGACTTAGGACAAACCTAAAACGACTTACAATTTCAAATGGAATGATACCGAAGTGTAGCAGTATTTCTTAGGAAGAATGGTAGGAGTAATAGATTGAACAATATATAAAAGACTAGAATGTTTCTTATGAAAAGTAACCTGAATAAACCTCCTTGCATGAATAGAACATGGCAAAATCTAAGAACCAACACATGTTCTGATGAAAAGTAACTTGATTAAACCTCATTGCATGAATAGACATCACAAAATCTAAAAACCAACATGTAGCAATTGCAGATCAAAAGCTATCTTGATTAAAAGTTCAAAACTGAGCATAACAACCAGAAATTAGGGGAAAAAGTTATAACTTTATTGATAAAAAATGTAGCTAGGTACCAAGGCAAAGCCAAGAAACATACTTGTAAATGTAGATGTCAACCTCTGGGCCAAGTGTACGGTTGCATGAAGCACAATACTGAAGAAAGCGCAGGGGTTGCATCTGCATGCCTGTAGATGGCACTGAATGAACACATATGCCAGTCTCAATGTGGTGACCGTGTGTTTCATCCCTACCTGTTTCTGCCGTCTGAGCAAGATTCTGTGACATTGAGGGTGTGGTGCTCATCGTGAGTGAGCGGTTTAAGCTTTCTAATGGAATAACATAGTAATGCCTTATTTATAATTTATTAGTTTGTGTGCTTCTCTCTATTTCTCTAGCTATGTCCTTCTTGTCAGGTTGCCTGTCTCACTATTTTCAGTATAGGAAGTGAGAGAATGATATGTCCGCACAGTGCTAGTGAATTAGTGATCCATAAGAGTCGGCAGGCACACTTTTTCTCCTTTTTAAGGGAAAGAGGACATGGTAGGTGCCATTTCTACAGGTTGATTGATGACACTGACATGATGGGACACTAGTCTTCTTCTTGGTAAGCATGGTCATGTTAGCAATGCAATAATGCACACCATGGTAACAGTCAGTAATCAGTTAAACTGCTTTATTTTGCAACACTCAAGTATGATATTGAAATGTTTGAAGATTAACTGAAGCATATGCCGTAAATAACATGATTATACGTATCAGTGGGAATGCAGAATGACACGTCTTGCAGCAAACAGTCCTAGTCGGCACAGGCATTTGGAGGCCATTATAGCCTTGAGGTAGGTTGTATAGTTGAAGAGCTGTACTTTCTGGATCATCTCCCTTCATCAAATTTTCATGGGGATGGGATGACAACTGACAGGATTTGCCTACATAAACATTACTGTGCCTGGGCCAACACACTGTAGTTGATGCGTTGTTTCTTGAAGAAAAGTTATTTGATTTTGTAACTATGTTGAAAATGACTATTCATTCCAACTTTTGTTGGTTGGTATAATTATTATCACTCTGATAATTGAGAAACCGCAAGTTCTTTTCAATAGGGAGAGAAAGATAGAATCTCGCTGTCAACACATAACATCATCATCGATGGTCCTTTTCAGATGTTAATTTACTCCACTGTTTTGATTTCGTTTTCCTTGTCTTTATCCTACAACAAAACGACGAGGCACTGAGGTCCCGATTCCTCGAGACCACCATTTTACTTACATATGTACATGTACTACATACAACGTTGATTGTCCATGTCCATGTCCTCCCATTCAGCATTCGCCAAAGCCAGGAATTGCAAACGACTGACCATGTTGGTTAAAGATTTGAGATCCTAGAAATTGTTGGTAGCAGTTGATTTGATTGTTTGTTCCAAGATCCATATTTTAAATTCAAGTTCACAAATTTGGGTAATTTGTTATCACAAAAGGCGAAAATCTTAAACAATTTGTAAACGTTGGGTCAAAAACGTGCGGTTGAGACGAGACTCACCAGGTAACACTCCCGAGCTCCAGTGAGCTCCCTTCCAGGCCGCAGGTCCCACAGATGGAACAGACCGGATGGCGACCGGCGGCGGCGCCGGGGCCGGCCAATGTAGCAACCTCGCCGCGTATGCCGCTGTCACGTTCCTCCACCGCCAGGGGCAATCCCTCGTCTTGTAAGCCGCGGGCCCCGATGGCCAGCAGCAGCAGCCCTGGTGCATCGTGCTCGCCCTCCCAGGCGACGCCTACGAGAGGCTGGACGGCACGACGCTGTCGTGGGCGGAACCCGAGTCCGACGCCATCACCCCGGTGGTGACGAGCCCGGCAGTCAACGGCGTCGAGGAGACGCTGGCGGGGCTGCGCTTGGCGAGGGAAGAGGGTGCGCCGGCGCCCGGCGCCCGGCGGAGTGTGTGTGTGTGTGTGGGGGGGGTGGTGTATCTCTCATGGGGGGGGGGGTGTATCTCTCATGTATTTCTCATTCTCCGGTCTTTTTGAAGCCTGTCCTTCCATGGCCTGTTTAACTTGGATACTTACATGATGTTGTGACTTATCTAATGGCAATTAGTATTGTCAAAGGCAATCTCTCATGTATTTCTATCTCAACGTCTGCAAGATTTTCAATTCCCGTGCAAAATTGTTGCCTCATCAGTCATGACACTGAAACATTATAATGATTACTGCTCTCTCCGTTCCAAATTATAAAACAAAATATGTTGCTTTTCACAGCAAAAGTCATAAATCTAAAAAAGCCAAAACGTCTTATAATTTGGAAGGGATTGAGCAGTAGACAATCTAAAGTACCAAATTCTCCGATTCTCCGCAAGACAGGCATAATACGACTATCACAAGCAGGTACATGCGCAATCCAGAAAAGCACAGACATCAGACATCAGAGAGGCAGAACAGCACACCCACGCTTGCTAAAAGTAATATAAAATAGTACAAGTCTCAACACTTTGAAGTGGAAAATGAAACCTTGAGCCAACATTTCAGCCAATGACAGCAAATATATGACACCACACCATCGATCAATTGGTTGGTGCTAATGAGGTTGGGATGCTAACCATTCCTTCCTCTAGATGGATAAGACCATGCCGATCAATTTGTACCAGCAACAGGTCCAGGCTCCTGCAGCAGCGCAATCGTTGCCAGTTTCGTCTTCTTCTTTATTTTTTTGGAAACAAATCGTTGCCAGTTTCTTCGCCATGAATCACCCATGTAGTGAGCTCTCCTGACATTGAACCATCTGGTGCATATCTCACCCTGCACCAAAAGAACCAATGAACTTTTCGAGTCGGTCAGAAGCAAAATCAGGTTGGGAGGGATCTGGAGACAAAAGTGAGAAGCATTTGTCAAGCAGAGCAAAACTCAGGGCATCAGTAGATCCATGTGAAGCTAATGTCCATTTCCGAGCCCCCACTACGATAAATGTTAATTGACAGCACAGTCACCAACTGGACGATATCTTTATGTTTGGATTTCCCATTGATAAAACATTATTTTCTAGGTTTGCAGTGGTAATGGACATGAATTAAACATTCCATCAAAAACTTAAGAAAATGCTCACCTGCATATTTCACAAGGGAACAGTGAAAAGGTAAGGGGAAATTGCACGAGTTATTCAGTTCCCTCTAATATTAGAAGTCCAGTGGCATTCCAAACATATCATTGATCTCTGCCATGACATCACGGGTGGTGATTGTGGGCTCAAATAGACCATCCTCAGCATCAAATTTGCAAGAATTCTTCTGATCGGCTTTGCTGGTAGGGTTATCTTTTAGGTCATCATCAGCTAATATGGAGAAACCAGAAGCTGGAGCTGTTTTTCTATCTGACAGTGCATTGGCTTTCCGCTTCGTTCTGTCACCCTTGAAGTTCAGTGGTCTCCCAAACATATTATTTATATCATCCATAGCCTCCTTTAGATTGACAGTTGGATCGACTAACCCATGGTGGCATGCATTTTCCACCTTAGGCTCATCATCAATAGTGGATCCAACAAATCTATGAATGACAGTGTCTTCTTCAAGCCCAGAACTCACAGGATGAGAACCTTCATGATATCTTGTTCCTGAATCATCTCGAACTGGACAGAGCAAAGTATTATTATCATTAGTAGGCTGCACAGTTCTAGAATTCATCTTCATACCGTCATCACTTTGCTCACATTGTTCTTCTTCATCATCTGGCTGTATTGCAAATCCTCCAACACATGGCTTCTGAAAGTCACTTTCGCCTCGATTCTTAGATGAATCACATAATGGTCTTGGAGGAGACCTATTCTTCCTGTGGCATGTGGCATTCTAGACATTGCCATTAGCCTCATTTTCATCAACAAAGATTTCAAATGCACTTGTTTCCTGATTCAACTTCATGTTTTCCTTATTAGAGTTCTTGTTTTGCCTCACATTTTGGTCGTTGCCATCAGGACTATCCTCATCAACAAAGATCGCAAACCCTCCTATTTCTTGACTGAATTTCAGATGGTCTTGCTTCATGCTGTTGTTGTGAAGCACATTTGGATTACCTTTAGGTTCATCTTCATCAACAAAGATACCAAATGCACTTGCCTGCTGATCATAATTTGGTTTCTTAGGTTTTGATCGTCTCTTGAGCATTGTCTCAGGTTCCACTGGCTCCAAAAACATGCTATTGATGGCATCCATAGCCTCCTTAGTGTTTATAGTTGGTTCAACTAAGCCATGATGGCATGCATCTTCAGTTTCTGACTTCCCAACCAATGCAGAGCCTACAAACCGTACAACTACAGTATCATCACTATTACAACGGGGCAAATTCTTTTTAGCTCCTGAGTTGCCTCTGCATAGCATACCCACTTTAGCAGGTCCTAATGGAGGATAACAACCTACTGAGGGATTGGAACTGCTTCTTGACTTTTGCATTGTATTGGATTTCAGTTCTTTACAGTTTCTGCTTTCACCTGCAACATATTTGAAAGTAAGTACGGTAACACGGAACAGATCAACATCTATATTTATGCTTCAATTAAATTAGAAAATGTGTTGAGAAGAGAAAGGTTTGAGATAAGGAACCACAAGAAGGATTTTGTTTCTTCATTTTGTGGAAGATTGAATAATAAGCTTTTAATAGAGAGATAAGTGACAAAGACAATATATGGTTACACCAGGAAATGATTTGTATACCCTTTTTTCACAGGCCTACCTTCAACTTGGTTCATCAGTGTAGCACTTGACTCAGCTTTCCTAGGCATTCTTTCCTGGAGCAGTGCACAAATAAAAAAGGAGGTCAACAAACCCAACACTGACCATGATATAAATTGTTGTAATACATAATTGAGAAGTATACTTTATCTTTCCTCCTCTTGTATGATTCTATGCGAAGAAGAAACTGTTCATGTGCCTTTTGCAACTCTCCAATAGGCTCTGCAAGGCTATTAATCGCTTGAGTAAGTAACCAGCTTGACTCTTAAAGGCACTATGTACTGAGATCTATTTTTTAACATGGAGCATTAGCAATCCTTCTGCCTTAATTTTTCTCAATTGTTAGGTGTTGTATAACCATGTGCGACTGTTTCTTAATAGAGTCATTCAGGTTGGCCATGAAGCTACATTGTGTATCTCAGAAAAATGGTAATATCCAGGGAAAGAGACTAAGTTATATTTTTAACTAACTACTAACTTATTCACAGTAGGTGCGTCTGATATATGCCCAGTTCCAGATGATGAAAGTACATGCAAGATTCAGCTAATGTGAGTTTAGCTCACACAATAACATAACAATTGTACTAGAAGAAGATGGTATCAGAAAAACAAAATGAGGGTAAAAGGCTTACTTCTGGATTCCCAAACGATACATCTTCTCCGCGTCATTGAACCTCTTGTGCTTCTCATAATACAGAGCAAAAGCCATATAGAATGAAGCTCTCTTGAAGCCTATTCCATTCCACTCCATCTTCTTGAGCAATGGCTTCGCATCCGTCACATAGTCCATCTACATGGTTAAGAAATTAAACCCAGTAAGACAGTGTCTTATAACAAGGGCTTGAAAGCCAAATGGAGAACGGTTGTATATGCTTGAGCCACTTCCTCAAGAGCACATGTCTTGTTCCACTATGATGCAATGTACAGAAAAAGGTTGCAGTGAGCCTATTGCAGTATTGCCAAGCGTTTTGAGGAAAGCATTCCCGGCGTGGTAATGACGCAATGTACACTATGTGCAAACGAAAAGCTGTGCTGTGAAATCCGTACATCAGACAGAAAGAAATGCCAACCCGAACCAGTGCAGATTCAGGAGGCCACTCTGAAGTCTGAACACACACACAGACACACCCCAAAACGTCATCTGAACCAGTGCAGATTCAGGAGGCGACTCTGAAGAGGGATCCCCCAAAAATGTCAACTGAACTACTAGACAACTAGTGCAGATTCAGGAGGCCAGACCACTCTGATCTGAAATGAAAAGTGAAAAATCCCAAAGCCTTGAACCGATGACCCACAATGAAGCGCATGGGGAGAGAGAGAGCATTGACCAGCTGGATCCAGACGCGGAGGTATCGCGGGTCGTCGTGGTAGCGCGCGTCACCTTGGAACTCCTGCGCGCACTTCTGCAGGAACCTGGGCAGCTTCTCCCGCAGCATCGCCGGCGGCAGCGCCCGCTCCATCTTCCGCATCCCCCTAGCAAGCAGAGCAACGGCGGCGGAAGAGGGGGTCATCAGTCGATCCGTCATCGGCGCGCAAAACACAGGGACGAAACTGTAGGGAGACGAGAGGGAGGGAGGGAGCTGCGGGCGGTGGCGCCGTACCGGAGCCACGGGCGCAGCGGGTCGGACCCGGAGTAGGAGCGGATGTCGTCCACCACCGACGAAAGGAGCTTCTTCTCCTGCTCCGCGGTGGCGGCGGCGGCGGCCATGGCTACGCTCCGATTGGTGGACTCGAGCGGCGGATGTTGCCTGCCTCTGGCTGTGCCGCCGCCTCGCCCTCCCCAATTCAAATGGATGGAGCCTTCACGACTGGCCCACCGGTCATGGGATGGGCGGGCCCACCGGTCAGACCTTCACGACTGGCCCAGCACGCATAGTAAAAGCTCGCTTGCCTCTCTGCCGTGCGGGCCCGACCTGTCATTAACCCAGCGCTGGAACCATGGAGTGCTCCAGCTATGGCGTCGGTTTCAGAGGCGGAGTTGGAGATCGACGATCCACGGAGCCCTAGACGGACACCGGCGGCCAAGCCTCGATCTGCAGCCCTGCCGCGGGTGGAATCGAGGAGGGAAGAGCAGAGTCGCAGGCCACCTCGGTTCGTCCCCTCCCCCTCTCGTGTCCTCCGATCCCGCATTCGATTTGGCTTCCTCATTCTGCCTCGGGTTGAATCGCGCACTTGTGAGTTCCTCAAACTACGCAGAGAATCGATCCGGTTTCGCTCGCAAACAACACTCGAGTTCCCAGATTGCGAACCAGTAGCCGTAACAATTAGGATTGCAGTCAACACGATACTAGAACAGTAGAATTATAAACAAGACAAAGAGACCTCAACGGGACAGGCACACCACTACATGCCCAGATGATTATTTGTGTGTGCAACACACCCCTCAGATGATTATTTGCATGTATGCAACACATGCCCAGATGATTATTTGTATGCAAACGTATTGAATCAAATCTGTTGCAAATTACTACATCCCCAACACACCACAACCGCTGCTCTGATGACGAGGACATTACCATACTGCCCAAACCTGAGCCAAACTCTGCACTGACCCAACAGAGGCTGCGTGCAAATCCGCCATGCCGCCACCAAACAATAGTGTGTCTGTTCTGCTGCTGCTGACAATCACTTCCAATGCTCGGCCTCGGCTTGAGGAGCGATCCTGGATAGGCTACCTAAGAGCTCCCTCATTTCGTTCTTGTGAGTGAGACGGTGAATGAAAAACTAGAGATACGTGTTTCTGCCCAAAGGGTCTCTCGGATGCCGAGCAGATACTTTTAACGGCCTGCAGAGATGGAGCTGAGGCCTGAGGGCGGTTTAAGAGTTTCCCCTTAACCCCTGAAGTCTTCTGTTCTCTTCCATGTACCATCTCTTCAGTCTCTCTTGAGCAACCGCCACCTGCAGATAAGGGGGGTTGTTAGAGGTGATTCAACATGTTGTGTACCTTTTAATTAGCTATTGTTTGAAGGCTGCAGATAACATTGTTAGTTAGTTAGTTGCAATACTGAGGAAACAGTGAGTCAAGGTAAACCTGTTTATCCCAGTCGGTCTTTAATGTTATGAACAGAAGCACAATAGTTTGGACTAGTGTTCCGAGCAGCATGCCAATCCAAATGCCCTACGATGAACAACCAAGGAGAGCAAGGATTTAAAGCCAACATTTTTCTAGAGTTCCACAATGGTAAACACCGAACTCTGTATATCACCTTCACTTGAAATCCCACCACATAGCCCAGGACTGCTCCAAGAGGGATGCCAATCAGGTAGTACGAAGTGACGTTGACATAGGCGACTACGCTTTGCCAACCTGCGCCGACAGCGACGCCTATAGATTTGATGATGACAATAGTTATTTTAGTGTCAATAAAACAAGTTGGTGGTAGTACATTGTAGCGATATCTCTATCATTCAGTAGGTCTTGGGAGAAGGATACCTGATAGCACAGGCTGAACACTGTTCAGCAATATGGAGAAGGCTAGCAGAGGCGAAAGGTCGGCAACTGCCTCAGCTACCGCTTGACTATCAGTAAATATGTAGGCAAGGCCTCCACGGAAGAGAAGGAAGAGCACAAACAACACAAATCCGATCGAGAAAGAGGTGATGACCACATTGTAAATGGCAAACTTTGCCCTTCTTGCACTTCCAGCTCCAAGCTCATTTGCCACTCGCACTCTGAAGATATATTGCATTCATACCAAAATCATTGAAAGTAGATATTATATTACTGAATAAAAAAATGGTAAAGATAAAGTTATTTACCCTGTTGCAGCCAAAAACCCGAAAGAAATCATCATCTCCCAACCGTTGATGTTGAGGCTGCACATTTCACAAATAGTTATCACACTGTTTAGGGCCTGTTGGATCCACACTGGGTTGCAACTTGCAAAAGCCTTTGGCCTGCGGATTTGTAAAATCTGGAGCAGAAGCTGGTCTCATTCGGATCAGCTAGAGCTTTCAACAGGCACAAGCTGATAAAAGCTAGAGAAAGCCAACTTATAGATCGTAAAGACTATAGAACAAAAGCTTAATTGTTTGTGTCCCAAACTGAATTATGGAAGCTATATTCCAAGATCTGGTGTGATGATTCCGAGATCTAGTGAGACGAGATCCAAACAGGATGGGAGTAGCATGGCAGCCAATTATGAGTGGAAGGACAAAAATTGTACTGGTGTGAATAGCAAACTACTAATTAGTGAAGTGTAGAGTAATGCATATTATTACCATATTGAAAGGGCGTCAAGTGCAACCTCTGCATCCTTCATGTACCCTGTGAGCAGCACCAATATGGTGTTGTACCACAATTCCAAACTGTAAAGGCAAAAGCAGAGCAATGAATATGTATTACAGGTGTATCAAAACCTCTGAAAAACAAATGTAGTACATGCATACTTACTGAACCAAAAATATGCCGCTTACCAGAGCATGACACCAGAAGATATCGAGAGCTTAATGATGGCACCGAGGTCAGCAAACGCAGCCGAGGAGAACCCGGTCCACGTGTGAGGGCAGCCACCGAAGAAGACGAAGGCAAGCTGCCCGAACACGGGGATCCACATGGCGATGACCATGGACCCCATGACCCCCGCCAGACCGAGCTGGAACTTGACGGTCATGAGCCAGGACAGGAGGAGGTGGAGGCCGAGGTTGAGCAATGCCAGGTAGGTGATGATGCTGTTCTTGCTCTGCGCCTGCAGGTACATCTGCAGCGTGAAGGACCAGACGTAGGAGAACATGACGGGGATGTACCAGAGCGAGATGGTCCCCGCCACCGCCGAGATGTCCGGGTCCTGGCCCAGCGCGACGAGCAGCGGCGCCGTGAAGAGGTAGATCGGGAGCATGACGATGGCGCAGGCGAAGAGGATGATCCAGGACCGCTGCAGGTAGATGCCCAGCATGTGGTACTGCTTCGCGCCGTACGACTGCCCGCACAGCGTCTCCAGCGCGCTCGCCATGCCCAGCTGCAGTCCGTCACAGCGCCACAGTGGTAAGATCCATGAAAAAACGCTCTGTCGATTAATTAAGCTTCTAGTCTAGAGTGGTAATTGTATTGGTTGGCATATTCATACAGATAGATATCCTGTTGAGGTGATGCTGTTTTCATTCAGCTGTTGATGTACAATATTTTCACATGTTAATGCGCTGCAGTGCACGACGGTGCACACGGCACACCAGAGGAGATTGTTCATCTTGGGCACGGCGGAAAAGGAAGTAGTGTCTGAGGCGGCAAGAAAGGAAGTCAGGTCACGCAAGTAAAAGCCATTGGAGACGAGGACGGCCATGCCTTTTCCACCATGACTTTGGTGAGATGAACGATGACTCAGTCAACCCGTCGCCATTTTCTTCGCCTCGCCAATGCCGCCGAGAGAAGAACGGGTTCAGCGTACGTCTCTCTACCGCATTGCACGTGCAGTAAGAAAGAAATTCCTCATGGAGGTTTGGGCGACATCCATGTCCCCAGGAACTGATGCTGCAATGCTTGTTCCGCTTCCTTTATTCCCAGCAGCATGGTTAGCTGGTGCCAAACTCGGCTCGAGTTTACACTGTGTGGTCCCGAAATACGGTTCAAGTCGACCGTGGACCAGAGCACAGGACAGTTCGTTTGTTCGGGTTATTCAACCTCAATGAATGCTACCCGTACGATCGACGCACATGAGAAGAGAAAACAGTGTATGGTAGGTTTGGCGTTCGTTGTTGAATCGTAGGTTAGACACGACCAGGGTGCTCTTCCTCTGTGTCTGTGTGTTACATTAGAAAAGTGAAAGATGTGCTTGGTGCTGAGCCTGATCGGTTGGCTGGTTCGTATCGTTGCTGGTTTGTTTATGTGAGAGAGAAATTCTATTAACTGATTCATTAGAACAGTGTTCATGTGAGAGGGCTGGCCAGCCCAGTCAGCCAGCTCGCCCCAGCAAAATGCAGGCCAGAAGATTACTGGAAACAGGTTCAGACTTGAGATTGTTTTAGCAGGAGATGAAATCATGTATACGTATGACGCATGGAATCTTGATTTGCAGATCACTGTTCGTTTTGGCTGAAAGGATCATAGATAAGGCAGAAGTACCGTTAGTCGGTTTGGTGTGAGAGAAAAATACCGAAACGAACAGACTGCTAGCTAGCTTGTCGTGTGGCGGTGGCGCTACTGCTGCTGCTGCTAACTGGATGGTCGGATGGAATGGAAGGTGAGCAAGAAGAACGGTGTAATACATAAGAGGATTAGTTACCAGGATGCCGTTGCTGAAGCGCATGAGGACGGTGGAGACGAGCGCGTAGGCGGCGAGCTCGGTGGCGCCGATGTGGCCGATGAAGGCCTGGCTGATGACGGTGACGCCGAAGGAGGCGAAGCGCGCGCAGATGGAGGGCCCCGCCACCACCCACAGCCGCTTGTTCTCCTCCCACGCCCGCCGAGGCAGCGGCTCCGCCGACCACTCCGCCTCGTCCGCCTTGCCGACGACCACCGCCGCGGCTCCTCCTCCTCCTCCTGCCCCGTTGTAGTGGTCCCCCGCCGGCCGTGGCTCCAGCAGAGGCACCTTCGCCGCCGCCTCACCGCCGCTACTTTGCTCCTCCATACCGTCACCTCGACTCGCCGCCGCCGGGGCCTGTGTGCACGAGCTTTAGGCGGAGGAGGAGGAGGAGGCGTGCGACAAGCTCTAATAAGCTCTGAGAAGAAGATTAGCCGTGATGATGAGCCGAGCGTTGGTTTATATACCTGCACTGCACTGCACTCGTCGCGCTACATGGCTCGACAATCATCCTGCGGCCTCCACGAGGCCATGCACTCGTGTGGTAGGTACATCCTGCGGCCTCCACGAGGCCACGCACGTACCAGCCCGTTCGGCTGAGAGCGGCGGTACTTCTTTCTCACATAAACGAACCAGTAACAATACAAACCAACCAACCGAACATGCCAGTGGTACTACCGTCTGCCTTGGGTTCTCATTATATAAGCTCTAATAAGCGGCAGTACTTCTTTCTCACATAAACGGACGGTCGGACAGGACCCAATTCACGGGGTGTTTGGTTGCAGTCGCTCCTAAAATTCATGTCACATTAAATATTTAAATATTAATAAAGAGTATTAAATATAGATTAATTATAAAATCAATTACATAGATAAAGGCTAATTTTCAAGATGAATTTTTAAGCCTAATTAATCTGCCATTAGTATATATATTACTGTAGCACCATGTTGTCAAATCATGGACTAATTAGGCTTAAAAGATTCGTCTCGCAAATTAGTCGCAAGTTATGTAATTAATTTCGTTATTAGTCTATATTTAATACTTTTACGTATATATCAAACATTCGATGTGACATAAATTTTAGAAGTTTCCGTATGCAAATAATACTGCGCGCTTTACAACACGCAGCAGCAGGAGTACGACGTTGTATACATGCATTATTTGCATCGCATCTTCATGCATGCACACATGATGGCATGTTCGGCTGGTATTAAAGCCGGCTGATAAGTCGGCTGAAGCTGTTTTGCTGTGAGAGAAAAATACTATAGATTCTAGCTGATAAGCCGGCTGATAAGTTCAAGCGAATGGACCTTTTTCAATGGCTCCCATGAGTAGTAGTACCTTTATTGATAGAGCTATAAAGAAAATGTTTGATAATAAAATAAAATAGTTTTTTATAATACATTTAATTAACAAAATAGTTTTTTATAATACATTTAACAGAGGAAGCTGGGAGAAACTGATGGCCACCCGGGTGCGTACGGAAAAAATTGGATGTAGATGCCTGCACCGGCGTCTCCGTGCTGGACCACTCGGATGAAAGCCACGTGTTCGAGAAGATCCTATCGCACGGCTATGTTATGGTAGAGTTTTCAGTTTCTATTTTTAAGTCGCACCACGCCTAGACCGTCGGAGGAGCCGCACGTACCATCCCTGATCGCGTGATGGGTTTTTTTAGACACGTGGCTTGGGCCTGCACGAAGACGCCGGTGTAGACATCCTGCACCCAATTTTTTCCGTACGTACGGTTAGTTGTCTGCGTGCAAGTGGGCGCCCGGAGGCGCCGATCGTCGAGGTATGCGTATACGTACGTACACAAGACAGTTAGCGACGTATAGTGCCCCGTACGTGGCCTACTGCATGTGCGCCGCCGTACGTACACATACATACAATTGCACGACGCGCCGTGCAACTGCAAGCCGGCCGGATATATATATATACCAGCAGCCAGCAGCAAGGCACATGCATGCACTCGATTCGTCGCCCCGACGTCCGGCGTCCGGCGGCCCGTGGAACACGCCGGCGGCCGGGGAGAATTATTCCTCCCGCTAGATCCAAATCCTGCAGGCTGCAGCTACCACGCACATGGAGATAGATGGACCCTCACTCGTCTTCTCTTCTCCGTTCTCACTAAATTTATCGGTTTATTATCCCCGGGCCCGGCTGCTCTAGTGGTGGTATCTAGACGGTCCGTGCCTGTCAATTCGTCTTCTTATATTATTCTGACATGCCGTCCTAGATAGATTTTTTTCTGTAAATTATTGTTGTTACAATCAATCATATTCATTCACCTCTGTTAGGCCTGATTTGGATTTGCATATATTTATCTCAATCTACGTGTGTTAAGCTTCGTTACAATCCACCTCAACACACGTGGATTGAATTGAATACACATACATTTAAACACGGTCTTATCCGTAGCAGGGTTTCCCATTACTGTAAACGAAACAAACAAGGCAACTCATATAATCTCATCTCATCTCATAATATGAAAGTTGCACCAACATCCACCCGCTGGTTAATGAACCCATTAACCGTAGGGATCCGACGGACTCACAATATCAAACCATTTGATCGCGATCTTCGGGGATGTATCGCCCATTAAGTAATTATTGGACGGTCACGAAAGCTCACGAACCCTGCTTTTGTCCCATTCGTCTGTGGATCTATAAGTTAAATCTAAGGGCCAAACTAAAGAGTACAACCTGAAAATCATTTTTTTAGAATTAACCGACCTAACTAGAACCCACTTATAAGTTAACTCTTGTATAAAAGAGATCAAACGCGGATAAGATGATTTATATATATATATATATATATATATATATATATATATATATATATATATATATATATATATATTAAAATGAGATAGTTTTATCTATATATCTCTACCAAAAAAAACTAGGAGTATCTATCTATATATATAGTTGTTGAGGAGCCTTATTTAGCTATATATATATACATGAACATTATATTATGGATAATAATCTACCGTACCCAGCAGTGGTGCTCATCATACATAACTTATTTACTATTTATTTCATTTCAGGCCGTACAGTTCTCTCTCCGGCTCTCTGACGGTCAGCACATGGACGCCGCCGGTACGGAATTACGTATACACCGCATGACTATGATGGTTGGCGGCAGCGACGACGACGACGAACCAATAATAATCAAACTCCACCAACTATCCGATCGACTGACGTTCACGGTTCACCCAAAGACCAGTCTCCATAGAATTTTCGTACAAGTTTCATGACATTAAATAAATTAATGTGATATATTATGAACGAAGACAGAGATTAAAAAAAGTTTTATAGAATAAAACGAGTTTTATTAGGACGAAACTTATTTACAGGGTTTCCAACACTATCGAGGCTTGAGCCTTTAATTTGCCTTGATTTCATAAAAAAAACAAATGGATCCGTTGGGATTACCAGCTTAATTAATTACAAAACTCTGAACAAACTGTGAAGTGCCTTCAAAACCTTGGAGTTAAATATGCAGGAACAGTCTCTAAAGACGTCTTTTATAGCGACTAGAGGCATGCCATTTAGATCAACAAACTTTAAATACACATTTTAATTCTCTAAACTTGTTAAGTGCTACATCTCACATCTCTAAACTTGTAAAATGATGCACCCTTGGGTCATTTCTCTTCCACGCACTGCTTGACAAGCTTAAGACTGTCTCCAACAATGAGAACCTAAACACAACACCCATTCTCTGGTTTGGGTCATATATAAAAAAAGGGTCCGCATATAAAATTTAGCTTCTCCAACTGCCAACGCAAATTAACCCTCTTTTTCCTTGGTCTCTCCGCCGCCCACCCATCTCCATCCCCTCCTCTCTTTATACGCCACTACGGCGGGACCTCCCCCATCTCTCTCGTTCTTCGTTTCTTCGCATTGCCCCCGAACCGTCCCGGCCGAGAGACGGCGGAAAAGGGCGAGAGAGATGGCGGTCGCGTCCTTCATCGCCGCCAAGTTCTCGGCGCCGGTGGCCGCAAGATCCGGCGGCGAAAGGGCGCCCCCGCTCCCTGCCGGCGCCTCGTCCTTCTCCTTCGCCAGGACCCTACGCCGCGGCGGGGCGCACCACCCGCGCCTGCACACCGCGCTCGCCGTCTCTCCTCTTCTGGTCAGCTGCAGGCGGATCCGGTCGATTGGGCGTGGTGGCGCCCTTTTCCCGGTGGATTTGACCTCGATGTCCGCGCAGATGGCCCCCACGCGCGGCACGCGTCCTCTCCCCACCGGCGGCGCGCATCCTCCTGCCCCACCTGCGGCGCGCGGTCGTGGCTGCTCCTCCTCCACCGGTGGTGGCTCCCTCTCCCCCTTCCAGTCAGCTGTGGGCGGACCCGGTCCATTGGGCGTGGCAGCGCCCCTTTTCATGGCGGATTGGACCTCGACGTCCGCGCAGATGGCCCCCATGGCAGCGGCGTCGACCCGAGCCCACGGCCACCACGTTCCGGCACCCGTCACATCTTAGGTGAGTGGGCCTTCTCCACGGCGCCAGAGATTTGGGTTTGAGGAGAGATGCGACGCTTATTTAGGTTGTGCATCGCGTCCCACCCAAAATAGGTCCCTCGTTTGCGTCGTCTGTTGGACCGTGTTTTCCACCGATAAAATAACCTGAGTAGGCATTTTGGATTCCCATGCCGTGATGCATGAGTTGTTGGAGACAGTATACCGATCTCCATCGTGTGGTACATAAAAAAAAATTTATTTTTCAGCTAGCTAACCAGGACGTGTGGTGGTGTGCCGTGCCGTGTGCGCATATTTTATCACTTTACCTCCATAGCCGCCGTCTCGTCAGTCGTCACACATGCGTGCATCCTGCTGCAATACAAGGTGACAGCACCTCGTTTCAAAAGAAAAAAGAAAGAATGAAAGTGACAGCACCTGCATGCTGGTGGCATCGACTGTAGCTAGCTAGCCGTTGCGTGTACACACATCAAGTCGTGTAGCACGCCATACGCACGCTTGCAGCCTTGCACTCGTGACTCGTACGATACGAGTGGTTCCTACACCTCCGCCGGCGGCGGCGACCGGCCAGCCAGCTGCTGCAGAGAGATGGGGCCGCAGATGCTCGTGGCGCCGGAGTCCGACGACGATGTCCAGGACCAGTTGGCGACGAGGGCGTCGGCGGCCTCCGTGGGGCTGTAGAGGTCCCACCACACGTGGCGCTCCGGCGTGCCGCACGCCATCTCCTTGCTGACGCACCCCACCGTCGCCCTCAAGGGGCCCAGCCCGCAGCACGCCTCCCTCGTCTCCTCGAATCCTATACATATCGTGGCACAAAGTATTAAAGTAAGTACGTAACCAATA